CCCAGTTTGATCGTATTATCATATAGCAACGTTATACAACACAAAACAGTTAAGGGGTAAACTGTACAATTGTAGTCCAGTGTGAGAGTGTAGGTGTATGTGTGTGTACACAGAGTTTAACTCCCCCCCCCCACCCCACCACCACCGCCACCAAAAAAATGTATACACAGTAATCACGCGGCAGTGATGTGCAAAAACATGTTCATTGAGGCTTCTTGTTTAAAAACATCATTACATGTCATATTCCGCCATATTTTGATCGAAATACGGTAGCTATGTGTTGTATCAGCGAGTCGTGGAATGTCAGTGAACAAATTAAGAAGAATTTGGAAGCAACAGAGATGTGGTTTCTGAGACGAATGTTACGAATACCTTGGACAGCAAGAGTAACTAACAACGATTGCTTGAAAGAGGCTAATGAAAGTAGATCTCTATATACAACAATAAGAAAAAGACAAACACTGTTCTTTGGCCGCATAATGAGAAGAGAGACATTTGAGAACATCGTGACAACTGGAAAGATAAGTGGAAAAAGAGGTAGAGGCAGACCAAGAGAGATGATGCTGGATGGGCTAAAACGATGGCATGGAGGGATATCATCAAGAGAGCTGTTCACGTCAACCAGGGGTCGTGATCTGTGGAGACGCATGAGCGCCAACGCCAGTTGGCAGGGCACATGATGATGATGATGATGTGTTGTATTCTGGTTATCATAAGTAGCTGGAGGCTAATGGGGAACAGTTTGAGCACCCGTGGTAGCTTCATGCAACACATGTAATTTGTATGCATTTTTTTGTGTCTGAATAAATGTAGTATCAAAGGGCGGATAATATCTGCAGCAATGAGCCTCAGGTGCTCAGAATGCTGAAGTCGAAGAAGATGTTTAAACAGTTTGTTATTTAAAAGTATTCACAATTAAACATCCTAACCTGTACAGTCCGTGGCGACAGCACCAGCCGTGCCGCCCTAAATTCTCGGGCTCACGACTCTCTACAAAAAACTTCGAGCAACACATTTCTACCGTAATTTATTCAAAGACTGCAAATATCTTATATGTAGATAGATGTCACTGCTGGGCTATTACTGTGCATATATTGTTAACTCTCATTTGGTAGATTGTGACGATATCGGCTGTACTACGTGACTGTTGTGGTCGCCTTGCCCTGCGTGTTGACTGCAAACGGGGAGCTATGATCTCATAATTTTTCAAAATCTGAAACAGGACTGCAGTCCAAAGGTGGATGAACAACCAGAACTTTCTGCCGGAGTTTACAGAAGAAGAAGAAAAAGAAGAAGATTATTATTATCATTATTGTTTTTAATAGTATTATTATTATTTGGTTGCAGCTCTTGGAGACCCCCACCCGTCCTCACATGAAAATTATCCAGGGTGTGGGCTTGAGGGGCTAAAGTCTTGCGCAATAATTGTTATTATTTTTTGCGTATTTATTTTATTATTTGCTAAATCCCACTCCAAGACGTGGAGTCTTACACCTATTTGGGCAGTAATGTAGATAAAGATGGAGGAACTGATAGAGATATTAAAATAAGAATACAAAAGGCAAGAGGGGCTTTCATAGCACTAGGGAATGTGTGGAGGTCAACAGAAATTAAAAGAAATACTAAAAAAATTTTTTAATTCTAATGTCAAATCAGTACTATTGTATGGGGCGGAAACATGAAGAACAACTAAGACAATTAATAATAAATTACAGACATTTATTAACTGGTGCCTGCGCAGAATAGAGGGAATAAATTGGTATGATAGAATAACCAATGTAGAACTTTGGGAGAGAACTAAACAGGCTCCAGTGTACCAAGAGGTGAGGAAAAGACGCTGGCGTTGGATAGGACACACACTGAGAAAACAGGATAACAGCATAACTAGAATGTCTTTGCATTGGAACCCACAAGGGCATAGGAATAAAGGAAGGCCAAAAAACACATGGAGAAGAGAGCTGAAGAATGAAGTTAAAAAGATCGGGAGAACATGGGGAGAGCTCCATGCAATGGCGAAGGATAGGAACGACTTGGCGTAAGTTGGTTGAGGGCCTATGCTCTGTTAGGGGATAGAAAGGTAGAAGAAGAAAAGGAAATGGCAAAAAACTTGTTATATTGAAAGTAATAAGAAATGTAGAAATTAATGTTTAAAAGGAGAACCTCTGTATATTGTGCGCTGGGGAGGGCGGAGGGGGCGCTGCTTCTTAAAAAAGTTGAGACGAGGGAAGGGGTGTTTGAGACTTAAGCCTTGAGTTCTTGTTCCTATAATAGATTACTGTCTATACACTCGTCATTTGGTAGTCTGTCTTTTCGTCTGCCTGTCAACTCGTCAATGCGTATATTCATTTCTGCCAGCTCATTTAACTGTCTGTATGTTGGCTAACTCTTCCATATTGGTTGGTTGTTAGTTGTACCCCACCAGGACATCACATAAGCGATAAACACCCGGTGACACAAAGGGTTACCGTGCGGATGGGGATCATCCGTGGAGAGGTCCCAAAAACCCCCTTCAGCCGTTAAAGCCATATCTATGGCTAGGCCATATCTATGCCCCGGCTATATTCAAGGCACCCCGGCAGAAGCCAGGGTGGGGCTTCGAATAACACCCAAAAAAAATTGCATTCCACAAGGGTGCAACTGTCTGTAACTATCCACCCGTCAGTCTTGTGTGTCAAAAATCTGAATTCATGGTTCACATCTTCAGTTTGGCAGCTGTGGCCGCAGCACTCTTTATACTGGCTTAAATTAGTAAAACCCAGAACCCGGACTGAGTAGATTGTTTTGACTGTAAAACCCTGAACTAGCTAGAGTTGATTATAGGCACGCAATTCTAGACAACGCGAAGCCAGGGGACATCGTCAAATATAAGGGAAGTAATAACAGAGATCATCCCAAATCACACTTTAGTAGAGGGAGGTAATTTCACACTTTATTTGCTGCCATAGTCAGCAGGGGCCGGTCGTGGTCTGAATACCCACGACACAAACAAGCCAGCTTGCCAAAAATAGCTTTGGGCCGGATCATGGAGATATCGTTGGAACTATGTCAGTTAATTCTGCCAAAGTTCTAAATCCTCGTTTCGAGAAAATTGCCTTTGATCTACTTCTTTTGCTTTTGTCCTACTGCTCGTGCCGTAGAGCGTCACATAGAGGAGTAAGATGTAGCTACTTCCCGTCCTTTTTAGGATGAAATTGTTCGTTTTTTGAAGCCCTACTCTGGCTCTTGCCAGGGGCTGCAATATAGCCTGGCCATAAATATGGTCTAATGGCTGAACGCGGTTTCTGGGACCTCTCCACGGTGATCCTCACCCTCATGGTGGCACTTTGTGTCATCGGTTGTTTATCGCTTGTGTGATGTCCTGGTGGGGTAGAAAGTCAGTCAGTCAGATGTAGTTCCCTTTTTTTTCTACTGCTCATCGGCGACCGATTCGCCCATTGGCTGGCCGGTAGACGACCTTGTCGCCCGTTGGGTCATTTTTTTGGCCTGTCTCCTTTGATTGCATCAACACTGAAAAAGTTTTTTTTTTTTGAAAGAGCTACTTAATTGTTATTTAAAATTATTACAAAATTAAACATCCTTATCTGTACATTCCGTGGCGACAGCACTGGCCGTGTGGGTCTAAATCCTCAGACTCGCGACTCCCTGTCTACACCAGCCTAAGAAAGTAGTACATACAGACAGTAGCAGGTCTGTCTGTATATAAAATAGAGAAGGCTGTGACAGTAGTAATAGTTATTTAAAATGCAAGACATTGGTACCGTAATGTATGTATTCAAAGAATGCTAAAGACAAAGAAGATGTTTAAACAGTTTGTTATTTAAAAGTATTGCACAATTAAACATCCTAACCTGTACAGTCCGTGGCGACAGCACCAGCCGTGCCGCCCTAAATTATCGGGCTTACGACTCCCTGTCTACACCGGCCTTAAAAAGTAGTACACAAAACTTCGAGCAACACATTGCTACCGTAATGTATGTATTCAAAGACTGCAAATATCTTACATGTAGATAGATAAATTTCACCGTGAGCCTACGGAAATGCTAGTTGAATGTGGCGATTTTGTTCCCCGCAAATCAAGCCAGGACAAGTCCTACTGTTTCTGTGGTAGAGCCTCGCAGAGTGGAGTTAGATGCAGTTTTCTGTCGTATGCTAGTTGCGTATCTTTTGCTAATCTCATATTGTCTGTATGTCGTCTTTTTCACTCGTTTCATCCATCTCTTTCTCGGTCGGCCTCTTGTCTTGCAGCCTGCTGTTCTTATGAAGCACGCTCTAGCTGCTGGTTGATTTTGTTCCATGCTGACGAAATGACCAAACCATTT